GGGCGCAATCTGAATATCCGAGGAAGCTTCATGAATAGCAAATGTCGCCAGAACTCGCACGAGTCACATGGAGTAGCTCTACTGCAATCAATTATAGTATCACAGAGCGAGTCCTTCAAGTTTTTTTATTCACCCATGCGCCTGAAATTGCTCTCAAACTTGTCCCCAAATATCTCATTAAAGCAATTAACCCCTTAAAAAAGAACTTATAGCGTCTTCAGAGACACTATATAAGCACCTTCAGTGGCACATTGTCGATAGTCTGACAGCGTCTTGCCGTGTGTGAAGACATCCGGGAAGAAATGTTGGAGTTTTATCATGCAGAACTCAAGAAAGTTATCCTGTTCTTCTTCAAAGCATGGCGCTTGGATTTCCTCCCGAAAACCAAATGGAAGGCTCTAAACTTCCTCAGACTCTCAATTTATCCTCTGTGTGCAATTTTTGCGTGCTTCTGCGAAGCTTGGCACTTCTTCTTTCAGATTAACAACTACAACGACTTGATGGATGTGTCCTTCACCATTTCCATAGGAATTGCCATGTATCAGTGCATAATGATTTATCTGATCGTCCATGTTGGCAACAAAAACCGAATTCTAGGCGTGCTAGACTACTTCGAATCCCTGATTCTGTCCAAGGATAATCTCATGATTGCCGTGAGGACAAAACACTTGGAGAACAGCACGAGGATCGCCTATATCTGTTCTAGGTGAGTATACAGAATATTTTATACTGTATAATCGTAAATTTACGGTTTTGCCTTTCTAGGTACATTCTTAGGGCCACTTTCGGCGCCTGGTTCGTCATCGCTGCAAACTGTACTTACTGGTCCGGATTCTCCTCTCCGATGCTTTACGACGCTCCGGGATTGCCCGAAGACAGCATCTTCTTCTACCCAGTAAACCTGATTCATCAGTTCGTGATCTTCTTCACGAGCTACGAACTGCTGATGTTCTCAGATGTTGTCATCCTCATTATGATCATGTACTGTCAAGCTGAACTCAAAGCCATCACTGAACTCCTCTCGAGACTCAGTGAAGAGAACATTGCAGTGGAAGAGGGAACGATGATCTTAAGAAAAGCCTACGAAGTGCACTCGAATTTGTCACACTACTCCAGCAATCTCACAAAGTCTTTCTGGCATGTTTACCTTCAGAAGCTCCTCGCCATGATGTTGTATCTCTGCAGCATGTTACTCTGCTTTCAGTCCACAGACTCAATCCCAATTGGAGCAATCTTAAGTATTGTAATCATCCTAACTCAGGTCTTCATCATGTGCTTCTTCGGACAGATCCTGATGAACAGTTCTGAGCACATGGCAAAGGCGATTTACATGACGAAATGGTACGAAATGTCAGTCAAAGATCAGAAGACGATGCTCATCTTGATGATGAGATTCAATCTTCCGGTTAAGGTGGAAACTTTCGCTTTTGGGACAATTTCCAATTTCACCTTTGTTCAGGTTAGTTTTCCAAGGGCAAGATAAATACAAGCTTGTGAATGATTATCTTTGCAGATATGCAAGGCTTCAGTGTCCTATGCTGCTATTCTCTATACGGTTTTGCAATAAAGATTCCACACAACTTGGCATAAGTCTCATTGTTTTACTTAAACACTGGATCACAATGTTGAATGATAGTTTTGAGTCTTCGTCTGCAAAGAATAATAATTTCTGTATTGATATAGATTTTTGTAATAAATTATTCACTCAGTAATAACTAAATATTTTAATTTTCCTTGAAAAGTTCCTGATAAATTTGATTACTCAATCCCACTCAGTTCTTGAAGAATCGAATGAAACATCATCACTTCTGTTGCTTTAGCTCAGTCGTACTTTGACAATGTTGGAGACTTATCTGACTAATTTGAAGGCGATTGTGAGGTTTTTCTTTGCGGCCTGGAGATTTGACTTCTTGCCAAAGTCAAAATGCAGGCTTTTGAACGCAGCAAGGCTCTTGATTTATCCAATTCTGACCATTTTCGGTGGGTTTTGCGAAGTGTGGCATATCTTGGTTCAGATTGAAGACTACAGTGACTTGATTCATGTGTCTTTCGCCACATCCATTGCCATTGGATATTACCAGACTCTCATGATTTACACTCTGATCAATGTGAGCAACAAGAAGAGGATTTTCACGATTTTTCACTACTTTGAGAAACTTCTGGCGTCAAAGAATGACTCAATATTCGCTATCAGGAATAAATTCTACGAGAGAAATATGAAAATCGCTTATTACTGTGCAAGGTAAGAAAAGAAATTGCGTAAAAAGACGTGAAGTTTATCTGTAGTTTTTATCTTCTAGATATTTCTTCATTGTCACTTTCATTTCCTGGATTGGAATCGTTTGCTTTTGCATGTACACAACAGGATATTCTTCTCCGATGCTCTTCACAATACCAGGACTTCCGAGAGAAAGTGTATTTTTCTATCCAGTCAACATAATCAGTCAAATTTTCTTATTTCTTGCTGGTTATGAAATAATTATGTTCTCAGATGTCGTAATTATGATCCTGATCGTCTTGTTTCAGTCAGAACAAGAGTCAATTGCGTACCTTATTTCCAGTCTGGAGAACAGAGAAATTGCCAAGAAGCAAGGCGATGAAATTCTCAGGAAAGTCTTCGACATTCACTTGAGTTTGTCTGAACAGGCGAAGGAAATGACGCAATCTTTCTGGTACATTTACATCATGAAGCTCCTGCTCATCATGATGTACCTTTGCACCATGTTCTTGTCCTTCCAAGACATCAATGAAATACCTTTAGCTGCTTACCTGAGCATTCTCGTGATGACAAGTCAATCATTCATCTTGTGCTTCTTCGGCGAAATGCTCAAAACGAGTTCTGATCGCATGGAAAATGCGATTTACATGACGAAATGGTATGAAATGCGAGTGAAGGAGCAGAAGAAAATCCTCATCCTGATGACGAGATTTCATTTGCCGATGAAAGTGGAAACTTTCGGCTTTGGAACGATTTCGCTTTTCACCTTTGTTCAGGTCAGATTTTCTGGGCCTAAATTGAAAAATATACTTGATTTTACGAGTGAATTTTTCCAGATCTGCAAAGCCGCTCTCACTTACGCCGCAGTTCTCTACACTGTGTTTCAGTAATGGCAATAAATCGAACACTATGCGAATGTCTTTCACTTCAGTGGCAAACTTTGGCCTATGAATTACACAAAATGCAGCTTTACTCTTGCAAACTTTCCCATCAATTCCATCACACGACACTCCAATGTTTTATAAACTGTTTTGCAAAGGATTTTCACCACATTTGTGAATAAATCTTGCACTCTGAACGTGGAATATATATACATAGTGTATATAGTGTGAAAATGCTGGAGGTTTACAATGCAGCGCTGAGGAAGATTGTCTTCTTCCTCTTCACGGCTTGGCGATTTGAGTTCCTGCCAGGGTCAAATTTGCAATGTGTGAAGATGTTTAAGCTGTGCATGTTTCCGATGTGTGCAATTTTCTGCTGTTTCTGCGAAATCTGGCATGTTTGTGTGCAAATTGAGGACTACAGCAACCTTATCAACGTGTCCTTTGCCATATCAATGGCAATTGCTCTCTATCAGTGCGTCATGATTTACATAATCATCATTGTGATGAACAGGAACAAAATTCTGGGCATGTTTGAGTACTTTGAGAATTTGCTGCAGTCCAAAGATGTTCTGATGGCGAACTTGAGGAAGAAACATTTCGAGAGGAGCACAAGAATTGCTTACTTGATCGCAAAGGGCATTCTGACCTCCTCCTTTGGCTTCTGGTTTGTCATCGCCGCATCTTGCATTTACTGGTCGGGATTCTCCTCGCCGATGCTCTTCTACATTCCAGGCATCGCGAAGGACAGCATCTTCTTCTACCCTTCCAACCTCATTTTCCAAATCGTGGTGTTTTTCCTCAGCTACGAACTCATCATGTTCTCAGACGTCATGACAATGATAGTGATTATCTACTGTCAAGCCGAACTCGAAACCATCACTGAACTGTTCTCGAAACTCGATGGAGAAAGCGTGGCAAGTGACGGAGGAAGGATCTTGAGAAAAGCCTACGAAGTGCACTTGAAATTGCTGCAACAGGCGAAGGGTCTGCACACATTCTTCTGGCATGTTTATCTTCAGAAACTCCTCGCCATGATGTTGTATCTCTGCAGCATGTTACTCTGCTTTCAGTCCATGGAAACCTTTCCTGTCGCTGCGATTCTCTGCATGTGGATCATCCTAACTCAGGTCTTCATCATGTGCTTCTTCGGACAGATCCTGATGAACAGTTCTGAGCACATGGCAAAGGCAATTTACATGACGAAATGGTACGAAATGTCAGTCAAAGATCAGAAGACGATGCTCATCTTGATGATGAGATTCAATCTTCCGGTTAAGGTGGAAACTTTCGGCTTTGGAACAATTTCCAATTTCACCTTTGTTCGGGTTGGATTTATGAATTTCACTCACAAAGAATAGTTGAGAAATTCTGCTTTATCTTTGCAGATATGCAAGGCGTCAATATCATACGCAACTATTCTCTACGCATTATTTCAGTGAACTTAGGAATTGACTCTAGGTTAAACTCTGTGGATTTACAAAACCGCACTTTCACCACTGGTTTTTCTCTGGACAACTCATCCAGTGACTTCTTAAGCTGTTGTCTAACTAATGATCTGAGCATAGATTTATAGAATTTAGTCACTAAACGCACTCTGTTTTTGGAATCACCTTGAAAACAAGGTTGAAATAAAGTTCTTAGTGTATTATCAAATGGATTCAACATGGCTTGTGCTGTTCTACGCAATTAGAATTTTAAGAAACTATGAAAAAGGAGTAATAAAGTCTGGGCGGGAATAAATAATTAGCCACCGAACCCTTTTCGTCTCAATATGGCCACAATTAAGACATAATTACTAAAGGCGTGTCTGGGAAAGTTTCTAATGAATTTCTCCACTCACTTCTCAATGGTATAAAAACACCTTCACTAAATCACTTCATCTCACAAGTGCTTTCAAAATGCTAGAAGTCTATCAATCTGGTCTGAAGGATTTCCTCAACTTCTTCTTCTTGGCTTGGCGGCTGGATTTCCTGCCAAAGTCCAAATGGAGCCTTCTGAACTTCATCAGACTCTCGATTTATCCGAGCTACACGGCTTTCGGGGTCGGTTGTGAAGTGTGGCATCTTATCGGTCAGATGGAAGATTACAGTGACTTGATTCACGTGGCTTTCGCCACAACAATCGCCATTGGCTTCTCTCAAACCCTCATGATTTACGCTCTGATCAATGTTCACAACAAGGATCGAATTATCGCCATTTTTGACTACTTTGAGCAACTTCTGGCGTCAAAGGACAATCTAATTTCCGAGATCAGGACCAAATTCTACGAGAAGAATATGAAAATCGCTCATTATTGTGCAAGGTATGGAAATTTACCGAAAAACGTTTAAGAAAATACAATAATTTTAATTTTTCTGTTTCTCTAGATATTTTCTCTCTGGCACTTTCATTTGCTGGATTGGAATCGTATCCTTTTGCATGTATTTGTCAGGATATTCCTCTCCGATGCTCTTCACAATACCAGGACTTCCGAGAGAAAATTTCTTCTTCTATCCAGTCAACATTGTTTATCAAGCTTCTCTCTTTTTCATTGGTTTTGAGTTGTTAATGTCTTCAGACGTTATTATCATGATCATAATTGTCTTGTTTCAGTCAGAACAAGAGTCAATTGCGAACCTTATTTCCAGTCTGGAGAACAGAGAAATTGCCAAGAAGCAAGGCGATGAAATTCTCAGGAAAGTCTTCGACATTCACTTGAGTTTGTCTGAACAGGCGAAGGAAATGACGCAATCTTTCTGGTACATTTACATCATGAAGCTCCTGCTCATCATGATGTACCTTTGCAGTATGTTTCTAACTTTCCAAGACATCAGTGAAGTTCCAATTGCTGGAATTCTCAGCATTCTCGTGATGACGGGCGAAACTTGTATTTTGTGCTACTTCGGCGAAATGTTGAAGACAAGTTCTGATTTTATGCTGGAATCAATGTACATGACGAAATGGTACGAAATGAACCTGAAGAACCAGAAGACAATGCTTATCATGATGACGAGATTCTTCCTTCCCATGAAAGTGGAAACTTTCGGCTTTGGAACGATTTCGCTCTACACTTTTGTTCAGGTGAGACTGAAGGAATGAAAGGATTTCATAATCTAGGCTTTTATGGTTTGTCTGTTGTTTTCTAGATCTGCAAAGCTGCTCTTACTTATGCTGCTATTCTTTACACAGTCCTCAAGTGACTCTTTTACCTACAGCATGACTTACTGTAGTTTGAAAATGTTTATTTGGCATAAGATTATTCATCTTCTTGTTCTGTTCTCTCTTGCGAAAAAAGAAATTTCTAAGTGTTCGCAATATTGAGATATTAATTGAAGCAAATAATAAATAATTATATCCAGAGTTATTGGGAAAATTGATTGATTTATTCACTAAGTCAACTGTGGAAATAATAACCTTGATGAAAATTTCTTGCTAAAATTCTAATAAAAGCACTCTAATTCAAGATTGTGATTTTTTTCTCTCAACTTCCTTCTATTCTCACGCGATTCATCTTTAATTTCAAAGAATTCCTCGTCCATTTCACATCTGTCAATTACTATTATTAGTGTGATGGTTTCTAAGAAGAATCATTACTTTATTCATTGATGAACTCTGCACAAATATCAGTTCAATTGATTGGCAGTACTTGGAAAACACTCGCAGCACAGCAAGATGGAATCAAATCACTCAAAAGTTTGAAGACAATTGTGTGGTTTTTCTTCACCGCTTGGCGTTTGGACTTTCTGCCAAGATCCAAATGCGGGCTCATCGACGTCTTAAGACACTCGATTCACCCAATTTCAGCTGCTTTTGGGGGATTCTGAGAAGTGTGGCAACTTTACGTGCCATTGGAGGATTACAGTGACTCAATTGACTTGCCTTTCACCATAACTTTTTGCCATAACATTTTACCATGTCTTGAAAACTTTCGGCTTTGAAACGATTTCGCTTTTCACCTTTATTCAGGTCAGATTTTCCAGGCTAAATTTGAAAAATACCTGATTTTGCGATTGATTTTTTGCCTGCAGATCGGCGAAGCTGCTCTCACTTACGCTACACTGTGTTTTAGTGACCAAAATGCTAATATCGAAGGCTGGAAGACCACTGAAAACCCCTCGAAATTGCAATAAAAACACTCAACTCTGCAGAGCTTTGCCGTCTCCCGAGATCAGAGAAAAGCGCATGTAAATTGCTGGTGCACAGCAAGCATTATCTGCTAATGTGTGATACCATCAAATGCCCCACGGAAATACCACTGAAGGGATGCTTTGGGGTCCAAATAATTTTTTAATTTGTATTCAGATTGAGTCACAAGGGAGAAATTGTGGTTGCAAGTACAACTCAATGTGTGTTTCCCGGACTTTTTTTCTCTCTCCTCTTCTCGCCTTAATTTTCCCCTTTCCGCACTCCTCGACAGTGTTTGAAAAAGAAGCGCCAAAGAGCATTGGAAAAAAGTCTGCTAAACATAATTGGGGTTTCGGAAGCGTGACGATGCATAATTATGTCTGGAAATTTAATGAGAATTAAATAATTTTTGCTCCCTATCTTATGGTTGGAATCTGCAGAGCGAAGGGGAAATTGATGAAATGTCGTCTGTCATTGAGGTTACGCGAAAGAATGTCCGAAGATGTGTTATAGAGATAAAATCATGGCGAAAGACAAATTCATTAGACGGTGAGAGTCAAGTGGTAAATTAATTTTGAAGAAAAGCAAGTGTGTGAAATCCTAATTTACCCACTAAAATCACCCTTTTAATTACGGCGGGAACTCCTGTCGTGAATTACGGTCAGGTGCGAAGGATGAAAACGATGCCAAGAGGGTGCCTTCATTAAAATTTATAAAAAGCCACCCCAATTTCGGGTGCGGCATGTGAAAATTCCACCAATTTGCAATAATATTAAATTATGAATACATTGAGTGTGAATATCTGGTAAATAACCCATCGTGAGTCGCATAAATAGCAAATTAGATTCGCAATTTCCAGTCTTGGGTAGTTGGAATTTATGATAACACGATCGAAAGTGTGTTACTTATCAAGGGGTGAATAAACTGTGACGTTCACACCGCAACAATGGACAATTTTTCTCTGTTTTGAGAAGCTTTTCGATTATTTATAAGTGCTTTTTGGAGTTCTTTTTGCTGAAGAACAGAACGAAATTGGACAATGAAGGAAATTGGATTTTAAACACTTCGCATTAAACCGTCACTCGTGCTGTCTTGAGTCCGCTTTAACAGCCTTTTTGGGGCGCTAAAAATTAATAATCTGCCCAATGAGGTGGAGCGAAAGCCAAGGCGAAAGCTCTCTTTAGTTGTAATGAACACTTTGGGCGTCCGGAAGCAGGAAAACTCACCATAAATCTCCTTTATCAACCGATTTCATGACACTTCATCATCTTTTCCGTGGCTGTTGTTGGCACACGAGATAAGGCCACTCATTTGATGCTCCGACCAGAGAATGAAGCCCTCCTCGCCGCTGCCAGTTTAATGGTCAGCCCAGAAAGTCTCCGCCCGCCGTGCGATATATCTTGTTTACGCAACAGCAAAAGCTCCAGAGCTTCCTCCTCGTCCTTCCGGCCGACGAGTGCGACACTGTCGAGGCTCTCGAGGGCCCAGAAAGCGCGCCCAGATTAGGCGACAGAGTGTGAGTTTCACTGTGGGGAAAAAGAAGAAACACGCCCGGAATTTGTTTGGCATGGATAGCAATCTGAAAAGAGAAGCGATTTAAATTTATTTCCATGGAAGTTTATCTGGAAACTTCGCCCCTAATGATTTACAACTTCGCCTCATATATATTGAATTGCGAAAGAAAGCACAAACAATGCGCGACAGAGATGAGAAGAGGAGAGAGCTTTCAGGGGAGAGCAAAATAGCCCCACTTTTCATCTTCAGGCCTGCGGCTGGGGAAACACAAACGTTGAGCATTTTTAAGTTTCTTTGTTTTTACACTTTTTAAAGGAGGAAAGTTTGCGCCAAAGTTCCTACAAATTCAATTTCCCGAAGGAGGAAAAATGCACAATTTCTTCAGACGTGCATTTTTCCACCGATCTCATTGTCTTTTTAAATGGTAATCACAAATTGAAAAATTCCTCCAACTTTTCATCTTGTTTTGAATTTATTCCCCCCCTACTTGCGCTCTGGGAAAATTGTGCGAGTGTTTCCATCCTTGAGAGAAAGTTAGAAATTGCATTTTATCATGCTTTTGAGTGTATATTCAGCGGAATAATTAAAGAAATGGAGCGATTTCTCAAGGAAAATCGGTTTTTATCTCGTGTTAACAATGCTTGAAGCCTTCTTTCTGTCTGCGATATTCTTGCAAGTGCCACTGAGGAAATTAAGGAAATTGAAGGAGATTCTTCAGGGACGTCTTCAGAATCTCTCTGCGGTGAAAGGCATGATAAAGAGACGTAAGAAAAGAAGTCCCTTCTTGAGCGGAAGCATGGAAAAAAGTGCACAAGAGGGAGACTTTATTAAAATCCTCTGGAGTTTGTATCGACTTTGGTGTGGATTTAATTCATTTCTATCTCTCTCTCTCTCTCGTTTTTACTATCTCAAAGAAAAAAAAGGGGAAAAGAACGTTGGGAGGGGCAGAATGAATATATTTTCTCTCCCTAAGCAGAAGAAAAATGTATATCTTTCACAATGAAGCGTTTTCCCAACTTCATTCTTCTTGCCATGGCAAAAGGAGCTTAATCGAAAATCCTCGTATTTATATGTAGCTGAACATACTCGTTGTATTTTATTGAAAATTGCGAATTCATTTAAACGACTCGCCCTCCTTTTTTTTGGGAGGCTCGAGGAGGAATTTTGGGGAAGAAAAACGAGGGATATTGAATTGACTTATACTGGTGATTTTTGGGAGATTTCTTTTACTTATATTTCAGTGCATTTTCAGCCATAAATTCAATGAAAACTTACACTAATAGCAGTAAAAGATCACAGGGAAATATGTAGAATTATATACTTATGAGGCAAGAGTGGAAATTTGGTGCAACTTTGACAAGAGATTCTCATTGTGAATTTCCTGCATCACAAAAACCATGAGAAAAAGTTACTACATAATGTTCACTCGTGTTAAATTAAGCTCCAAATTGACATTGAACAATTCCACACTTTTAAATCCTCACTTTGTACATCAAAGCATTAAATTTTCCTCTGTAACTTCGTATTTTGAGCGGAGAAAACTCCATCAAAAGAAATACTGTGAAAGTTCAACGATTGTTCAAATCAATGTCAATTTTTCAGCGAGCTTGCAACTTCTGCAAGACCTGATGAATGGCGTTGTAAAGTGTTTGCGCACTTTAAGGAATCCAGTCACGTGTGACAATCCTTATAAGAATTCTGTGGCAAAGCAATAATTCGCCTCTTCTAGCCGTTTGCTGAGTGTGGCTAAATGTTGTGCACGCAAATCGTGATCGACAAAAAAGGAGTGGGCTAATTTTCTGTCGGGAAGAAAGAGAGCGAGAGAGAGGAAAATTGCCAAAAATACAGCCGAGCAAACATGACGTGAAATATTGAAAATTGCCTCATTTTCCTCTTATTTGCTCTTCGGCACACAAATTCTTATTTGGCCAATTTTATTTGTGGAAATGTCGAGAGAGGAAAAAGTTCAGGTCAAATTTGAAATCAAAACAGCGCACAAAAATATCTATTCATGGAGTTTCTTCGCGCTCTTTCAACTCCACCTCAAAAGCCATTATTCAAATGCAAGTTGCTGGGAAATTGTGATTTTTAAACACACTTCCTGTACACTGAATAATTCATGTGTACATTTTATTTTTCTCTTTTCTCTTTCACCCGATCTTCTGCGCTGTTCATCGACACCTTTTTTCTTCCTCTGGTGGGTGGAAAATGTTCTGCGACCGGAAAAGTATGAGTCATTTGGTCATAGATAATTAAAACATCATTAAATGACCAATTAATAGAGTAATAAGTGGGTTGACTGTGGGAAATGGAGCCATTTCTTCGATTTCACCACACCAACACTGCTGATTAACCGTGGATTTTCCCCATGTAATTGCCAAGCGGCATTAGCGCGAACGTGGCCGGATATTAATTAGGGAATTGACGTATCACTCAAAGGTCCTGAACTAGGCAATTTTCTCCCCGAAGCTTTCGCCCTACTTTCCACGATGTGTGCGCGCCCAGAACGCCTGAACGCACTATCGAGTGAAACATTTTAATCTGGAGACATCCTTCTGGCCTTTTTCCTGTGGTCTCACTGTGAATTCCATACATGAAATTTCTGGTGTCAGGCGTATTTTGTCCCTTTCTCTGCCTGCGCACCACCAAAATCGACCCTCTCGACATAACTTCCAGGCTCT